AGAGTGGGAGAGAGCCAAAGCATAAGAGACTCTTAAAAACTGAAAATAAACTGAGGGTTGATGGGGGGTGGGAGGGAGGGGAGGGTGAGTGATGAGTACTGAAGAGGTCCTCTTTTGGGATGAGCACTGGGTATTGTATGGAAACCAATGTGACAATAAATTTCACATATTAAAAACAAACAAACAGTTGCCCTTCTTTTTAATTCTCCAGGCACAGAGATTTCTACAGTGAATATACCTGTCCTATTTTAAATTAATCTTTTCTTAAAGGTCACCTCCTATGCATTATAATATTTTACAGGTTATTTGATAAATTCTAAATACACATTTAATACCTTAATTGGATAAGATGATTTGCTTTTACTCATTTTATTTATTAGGTATTTGTTTTTAAATAATTGCTAAAAGGCTATGATATGTAAATAAGAAGCATACACAGAGTTCTTACTACTTTGTATGATTTCAGCCTCAGGTAGTTTGGAGAGGAGCTGGCTTCATGTTATACCTCATTTTTGTGATAGAAATTATGCAAAATCAGTTCTTCTTCACCTTCAGATTCTAAGTTTAGTAGTATTTTTAAACTGAGCAGCAGTTTGGTTCAGTGAACATTATCTCCTACATACTTGGTACTTTACTAAGGTTCTGGGATATAATAGTAAATCAACATAGATCTGCCCTCAAGAGGGTTTTATAGTTCTCTAACAGTTGAAATTTTTAGAAAATATATTTGTAATTATCAGTGAGGCTTATCTTAAAAAGCATTCCTTGGTGTTACCTGTCAGTGCAACTACTTGTTCTCTTAAGTTCTAAATGGATTTCTTCTTACTGCCTTCACAAACAGAAATCGAGATTATATGGGGGCATCCAGTGTGTTTTCATTTATATTTTCCATATGTTTCTACAAGTGTATTGAAATTTTTTTTTTTATCAGTAACCCAAATCAGTCTTTTGAGAAGTATTATTTATGGTAACCATTGTTTCTTTTAGTTTTCTCGTAAGATTCACATTGAAACTATGTGTGAAGTAAAGAAAATCTACCTTCAGGAAGAATTTAGAATTTCGAGGAAAAAGTCCTTGCCTTTTCCGAGAGACCATCATAATCAGCCAGTCACAACTGATAAAGGTAAGTAATTAAGAATAAATGTAATAACCAGTAATTTAAAAGGAGGAAACTTAAACATAAAAAATAAACATGAGGGGCATCTGGATGGCTCAATCCATTAAGTGTGTGACTTCAGCTCAGGTCATGATCTCACAGTTTGTGAGTTCGAGCCCCACTTCAGGCTCTGTGCTGACATCTCAGAGCCTGGAGCCCACTTTGGATTCAGTGTCTCCCTCTCTCTCTGCCCCTCCTCCACTCATGCTGTGTCTCTCCTTCAAAAATAAACTTAAAAAAAAAAGTAAACATGAAATCATTACTTAATGTAAGTCATTTCCTTTTCACTACTTAATCTTCAAGTTTCCTAATAATTGATATAGTGAGCATCACATTTTACATGGCATTCATGGTGTTTTGCCCACCACAACTCTGTGAGTCAAATGGAATACCTTGCAGATCAAAAAGAAACTAAAAAAACCTTTATGCTTTCAGAGATGAAGTGACTTCCCCCAAATCAGATTGAAAATCTGTAATTTGGGACTAATTCCTGTTCCACATCTCCTGTGAGACCTACCACTATTTGAAGAAATACACTCAAACTAGTGTGTAATATTCCATTGTTTTGAATTCTTTGAATTTTTCCACGGGAAGAGTTAATGTTAATGTAGTTGGGCTAAACTCTCTAGAGTATATAATGTATTAATATTTTTAGATAAATAATTTATAAAGTGATTATCAATTTAAATTTACTTTGTTAGAAAAGGTCTAGGTCTAAATTTGAAGGGAAAATGTTTAGAATGCTGTAATGTTATAAGTATACCCAAAACAAGGAGATAATGTTGATTGTATTATAATTGTTTTAGTAAATGTGCCTTATAAGTTATTAAGCAGTGTTGTTTTAAAGTACTCTCCTGCCGTTTTCTTTCACCCTTTATTTTAGGTATTATAGTCACATAATGCTATGGATAACTTGTGGTGATTATATTGGAGAATAAAGGTTTTGTTTATTTTGTTTTGTTTTAGAGGTATGGCCTGTATATGTGGAATTGACCAGTGAAAAGATATACGGCTGTGATTTCATTGTCAGTGCTACAGGAGTTACACCAAATATAGAACCTTTTCTCTGTGGCAACAATGTAAGGTGAAGTTTTTTTTGTTTTTTTTTCGTCCTGCTGTGAATATTTTTATATTTTTTTTAATGTTTATTTATTTTTGAGCGAGACAGAGAAAGAGTATGAGCAGAGGGAGGGGCAGAAAGAAAAGGAGACAGAATCCAGGGGAGGCTCCAGGCTCTGAACAAGCTGTCAGCACACAGCCTGACACGGGGCTCAAACTCACAAACTGTGAGATCATGACCTGAGCTAAAGTCGGATGCTTAACCGACTGAGCCACCCAGGTGCCTCATGCTGTGAATATTTTTAAAGTACTGTATGAAATTTAACTTTCAAGCATAAATAACTGTTCCTTGCTTTAGTGTAAAACTGTAACTTATGGAAGGTGAAAACAATTTAGATCATATTCATGTTTGGATTTGCAGTATTTCTTATTGCATAAAGTCCTTAAGCAGCTAACATCCCAGCATAAATGTCATCATTGATGGGACATAATGCACAGTTCATTTGTCTAAAGGTTGGTAAGAGACTGACACCTATGGATTCTTACAAGTGATTCTTTTGGAGAAATGCCAAAATGCTAAATGCCTTTTAGCATTTTAAGCTCACAAAACTGGAATATTGTAATTATGAGTGGGGTAGTCACGGTTACTGAGTGTTCCTGATGTTGAAAGTCTAAAAATTTTTGAGTTGGTCTGTCTTAGTAGCATTTTGATCCCCTGGAAATTGAGCTGAGTTATCTAAACTTACAGCTATTATTTACTTTCTCATTAAAGATCAGCATACCAAGGTGTACAAATGTGACTTGTTCTTTTACTTTAGAATGACAAAGCCATCTTTCACTTTTCTTCCCATGTGTTCTCATAAGGAACATTGTTTAGTTTGATCTAGGCGAAGATGGTGGCCTGAAAGTGGATGATCACATGCACACGTCTCTCTCTGATATCTATGCTGCAGGTGACATCTGCACTGCGTCATGGCAGCCCAGCCCAGTGTGGCAGCAGGTAAGCCAGCATCCAGGATCACATCTTCGTATCAGAGATTCCATCTGACGGTAAAGGAGTTGCTACCAGCAAATCTAAATACCTGGTTTTCCAACTTTTTTTACTTTAAGAAGCGGTCATAGAGTTTTTTGTGACAATTAAAGAATTTTCCCTTTTGGTAAGTTATTATATAGTGATGGAACAGTAGTTTATCAGCCGTGTCCAGTGGAACTTTATGCGATGACAGAAATGTTCTGTACCTTTGCAGTGTCCAGTCAGGTAGTCACTAACTACGTATCTCTATTGAGCACTTGAGTTTAAATAGCTACATGTGTCTAGTGTCTGCCAGACTGGACAGCACAGCTTTAGATTAATAATTACTGAGGTATAAACCATGTAGATAAATGATGACCCTATTCTGTCCCTGTGAGAACTGTGACTGAAAAAATTTCCTATAGTAAACAGCCTTCCTCAGCTGAACACCTCCATTGAACTGGGCATAGACTTCCTCCTAATGGTGGAGGAGAAATCCTTGAGGAAGATACTCAGACCGTGGTCATAGGTGAGGTGGTCTCAGGGGGAGGAGAGACACAGTAGATGTTACAGATAAAAGACCCAGGCAACACTCCGTGTGAGACCAGCTCCACAGGTAGGGATATTACTCCTTCAGATCAACCACGGAGTGTGAAGTAGCAGAAGAGCTAGATGTATTTTAAGAGGCAGCTTCATTACTTTGTGTGTTTTTACCTACAGCAGAGCTGACAATCATATAAAAGTGCTTTTAGCCTAGGGGCGCCTGGGTGGTATAGTCAGTTAAGCGTCAGACTCAGCTCAGGTCATGATCTCACGGTTCATGAGTTTTTAGCCCTGCATCAGGCTCTGTGCTGACAGCTGGGAGCCTGGAGCCTGCTTTGGATTTTGTGTCTCCCTCTCTGTCTGCACACCCTCCACTCATGCTTTGTCTCTGTCTGTCCTCAAAAAATAAATGTTAAAAAAAAATTTTTTTAATTTTTTTTTTTAAAAAGAGTGCTAGCTTGTTTTCAGTTTTCTCTGTAATCATTCTCTTTCACTTCTGTGACAGATCTGTCATAAACTCTGAGTTTGTGGGATTTTTTTAACGCTTTTAAACCGTTCAGGATAAATTACATCCTTAATGGGTGTCATAAACTCTGGTATAGTCCGTGCCCAAAAATGACAAGTGTCTCTTGAGTGAATCTAATAGACCCTGTCTCAGTAAATAATAAGTACACTAAAATTTGTTTTACACAGTCCGAGACACAGACTGAAGGGACTTTGAAGCTGGTATACATTGTTTATGTTTATAGAGGAGACTGAATTAAAAAAAAAATCTATCAGAAATGATTGTGGTATTAGTTTTGCACACAAAAGGACATTACTAATTGCTTAGTGTAGGCTAGCTTATTTAAATCTCTTAATAGCCATTGAATAGGTGGTATACATTTTTGTTTCAGGTGAAGAAACTGAGGCTCAGTTAAATATGTAGAAGAGTTGGTATTTAAATCTCTTGACTTCCAAGGCCAGTGTTCTATGCAGGATCACTGATAACCTAAGGGAAGAATTTAAAATGAATTCCCAGCATTGGTTGCTGAAATCTGGTAACATTTCTTGAGGCTGTTAGGACAGCAACTAATATATCGATCTGCCTGACCACTGAGGTTTTATTGCATGAGAAGCCTTAACTATATAGCACCAAAATCTAAGGATTAGGAAAAGGAATGAATTTTTCAGTGATCATTTCTCATCTCTATTTATGCTGATGATAAACTTACTCTGTGAGAGGAGACCAGTTAATTAGTATTATTCTTCCCTGGTGTACCCTGAAATGTTTTAGTTGTATACAGAGTTGGTATCATCCTTTAATTTTAGAATTCTCAAATAGCAGTATCAGTTTTGGTTAGTGTGGAATGGTGATTGCTTCTATGGCAAAGACAATCCAACTGGTCATCTGGCTAGCTAGATCTAACCAGTCTCAAGGACTCTCGATATTGAAGCCCTTTAAGCAATTTTGTAAGGTTAAGGTGCTAGCATTTTTTAAGTATGGACAATGAACATTATATCTCATAACATTTTTTTATTTCAGATGAGGCTGTGGACCCAGGCTAGACAGATGGGGTGGTACGCAGCCAAGTGCATGGCCGCAGCTACTTTAGGACAATCTACTGACATGGACTTCAGCTTTGAACTTTTTGCTCACGTAACAAAATTCTTTAACTATAAGGTAAGATAAACAAAGTAGTGCCTTTTTCTGCTTGTTAGCCTTTAATTATGTAATTTTATCATTTAAGTAAATACATGGTTTTAGTCATTTTACAAAAAAATGACATCTCATTTCTTGCAAATCAGTACCTGGTATTACTGCTGGTCTTAATTCCTTCCTAATCACCACCTACCTTCCTACGATACTATTTTATAGTTAAAGGTGGGGGTGGGGGGCATCTCTTCTAGACTTACTCCCTGTTGGTGCATTTCTGCATTTCATTTGAGATCCATCCTTGCCTTGTAAGGGGAACTAATAGCTGTCATGCTCAAGAATGAACCAGGTACTCTGCCATACTTATTTTACTCTGCGGCAAGTTTTTTCTTGATAATTTACTGATAAAAGATTAAATCAGGACTCTAGGCTAATGTAGTCCAGATCCTGCATATTTGCTAATTCACTAGATATTTTTAATGTTCATATATAGATTGTGTGTTAGTGTCATCTGCATAATAAATGCAGTGCTATTCTAGCATAACACAGTGTAACTACATACCGTGTTTCCTTTTTGTACTTTATCCCTGCGTTTAGGTTGTATTGCTGGGAAAATACAATGCACAGGGCTTAGGTTCAGATCATGAATTAATGCTGAGATGTACCAAAGGACAAGAATACGTCAAAGTCGTCATGCAGAATGGGCGCATGATGGGAGCTGTCTTAATTGGTGAAACTGATTTAGAAGAAACATTTGAAAACTTAATTTTAAATCAGATGGATCTTTCATCATATGGAGAAGATCTGCTAGATCCCAATATTGATTTAGAAGATTATTTTGATTAATAAAAGCATTTCAAGAGCTACTTAATGTTCCAAATAATACAAAGTCACAATAAGGTAAAATTTAATAGAAGTGATAATGATTTCAGTGGCAAAGTTTTGAAATATATTTTTTCTAACTTAAAACCTAGCACTTAATGTAAATTTAAGTTATTCATTTCTAATTTAGCTTTGGGGCAGATTCAGCTAGGTTGTGATCTACTTAGCCAACAACTTGGCCTGGTACACCAGAATCATTCTGATTGAAATGTTAGGGCTGTGGTTTCAAGAGGCTTATAGTTTGGTTTTACTTCTAGAAATGTAGCAATAGCTTACTTACTAATATCATTTGTATTGATACTTTATTCCTTTTGCATTTGGATTCCACAGCTGTTAAGAGCTGAAATCACCCCCTTTGTAATAAGCCTATATAAAATATTCCACATGATAACACTGCTATCAACAGTTAGTTATGTAAAAATAATACGAGTTTATGTGAACTTTAGTTTACATTTTTCTCATTTTATACTGTCAATTTTTATAAACCTTCAATATTAATGAAATTGTCTTAAACTACAAAATAATGGTGTATATTGGTGTATATGTACATAAAATGTTTTCTTGGAAAATTCGGAAACACTCTTTTCTTAGATTGCTGAAGCATGTTTGCAGACTTTTGGAAGTTACCTGAATTGTTTTCTTTCCTCTTTATCAGCTCCTTTAGAATGATACGTTTGAAGTGATTCAGTCTACAAACAAAAACAAACACTTTGGTAAAAACTCAGCTGTTGCATTTTCTCTTCAGATTAATAGTCCCCTGGGTCCTTCTATATTGGTTAGCTCTTAAGTGTCAGTGGCCTAGTTTTTTTGTCTTCAAATATCTACTCAAGGGGCGCCTGGGTGGCGCAGTCGGTTAAGCGTCCGACTTCAGCCAGGTCACGATCTCACGGTCCGTGAGTTCGAGCCCCGCATCGGGCTCTGGGCTGATGGCTCAGAGCCTGGAGCCTGTTTCACATTCTGTGTCTCCCTCTCTCTCTGCCCCTCCCCCATTCATGCTCTGTCTCTCTCTGTCCCAAAAAATAAACGTTGAAAAAAAAAAAAATATCTACTCAAATATGAGCCCTATCTTGAAGGGGTATGTTGTCTGAGAAACCCTAAATCTATGGACACAGTGGTACACAGCATGGTTTCACAGATTGGTTCCACCTTTGCTGCGCAGGCAGATTTCTCAACCAGTGTTGATCACAGCCGGTATTGTGAACAAGTCCTCTGCCTACTTCAGGATCTTGATTAGATCTCTGCAGTATGCTGTTAGATGTTTCATCTTTCACATGCTGTAATGAAATAGGCAACTGGGATTTGGGAATTACAAGGACAGGCTATTCTAGTTATTAAACTGGCTTAAAATGAGTCCTCAACATGAGCCACCCTAAACACTGATTTGTTAATTTGTTCTGAACTAAAATTAGGGTATTCCTCAAGTCTGTCACTAAACTGTTATAGTCTCTGTAAGACATTGTTGAATTTACAGAGATGTAAAGAAAAGAACCTGGTTACCAGAAGGCCTTTGGATATGCTCTAGGAACCAGAGTGTCTGCCAGACATGATTGAGAGATACTTAGAATCAGTGTATTGTTCATATTTACCTGATTTGTGCTCATTACACAATATTCTGGAAACTGTGGCTTCCTAGGTACACTGTTTAGAGACAAGAATGTCCTCATCATCAGATATTCCTAATTATTGATTCTAGTACCCTGATTTATATATCAGACTCTTGTTAACTGGTGAGTATAGCACAGCATAAGAAACTCAGAAGTTTCTCTGGCTGCAAATTTAAGACCATAGTTACCTTCACCCACCAGGTGTCAGAACTCTGTGAGGGGGAACTGGTTAGTCCAGCTCTTCAGATACAACAAACATGCAGGAAGAAAAAAAGTTCAACTACAGCACCCAAACACTGCTATGTATATTAGTGTCTTATGAGTGATTAGCCATTACCTGGTTCAAAAATAATTCACTCTTTTGCATGGAATTTCTCTTTCCAATCAGCCACTATAAACTCTTAGAGATTAGCCTTTTCTTAAATAGCATTTCTAGTCAGAGGGATTTAAACTTTTTCCTTCATTTCTTAAAAATTTAACATGCCCTTAGTACAGCAATATAGATCCATACACATACCACTTATCCTTTTATCCTTTTCTTATTTTACTGTTTTAAAACTGTGTTACTTTTGAATCTAGAAAATGCTGTTCACAGCTTGCTTAATCTTTTAAATCCATTTTGGGATCTAGTATTGCCCCCATGTAGTCCTAGCTATGAAGATTTAAAAACAATGAACTAGGGAGTGTTCCAGTCCAAGATGGCAACATAGGAAGATCCTGAACTGGGCGCACCAAATCTACACCTGTTTATAGGCAATTCCTCTTGAAGAACTGAGGACTGACTGAACAGCTTCTGTACAATAAAAGATACACCACACGGAGAACAGCAAGAGAGACAGACATGGTAATCCACAGTACCCACCCCTGATGCTGCAAACTGTAGTAGGGAGGATAGTAATGAGGTACCAGGAGCAGATTCATCTACCCTGGGCCACAGAAAATAAAAGCCCTAGCTTAAAAGAGCAACTAGAATATAAAGTAGCCCTTGAACCCTGCTAAACGGGAGGGGAGCTGCTGCAACTCTCTCTGGGTTGGAAGGTCTAATATGTGCCACAGCTTATGCACCCTCCCACAACCTTGACAGCATAGATGGGAGCAGGGTCCAGGTGTCCTAACCAGCCTGCCACCTCAGTAAGCCCTGACACCAGCCCCAGCTGTCCCACCAAGGCAGCCCCATGGTGGTGCACACCAGGAAGCCCTGGTCGGCGCTCACTATAGCTCCACCTATCTCACCACACTGAGGCAGGCACAAAGCACACTGGAACACTTCAGACCTGCACCACTGTGGTTTCAGACAGCTTTTCAGCACACCCCAGCTGATGCCTTTTTTCAGCTCCAGCTGCCCTGCCAGGACACCCACACTTGAGCTTCCTTGCAGGGCACCCTCCATACACAGAACCCTAGAGTGACCCCAGCCTATGCCTATTTCAGCTATAATTGTCCAAGTTGTCCCCTTTACAAAGCACCCAGTGACGTGCCCAGCCAGCAACCCACCTCAGCTCCAACTGCCCCCATCAAAGTACCTTCTGCACATCCCAGAACACCCCAGCTTACACCCACTTAGATTTCAGCCATCCTGTCAGGGTGCCCTCTGCACGGAGAACCCCAGGACTACCCATGGCTTGCGCCCACTTCAGCATTTGCTTTCCTGCCAGGGCACCCCATGCCAAGAGCCTCAGGACCCACCCCCAGCCCACACGCACTTAATCTACCACTTTTCTACCAGGGCAGCCCCAGCAGGGGGTACACTGCAACCCCCATCCCATGCCAGACAGCAAAAGTCACCAGATATATACAGTCTACACAGAGGACAACCACACATAAAGACCATTCCTTCAAGTTTAGGAGGAGTAGCTCTTCTGCCTAATTCATAGAAACAAACACAAAGTTAGGCAAAATGAGACAGGAATGTGCTCTAAATGAAAGAACAAGACAAAACCTCAGAAAAAGAAATTAATGAAATCAAGATAAGCAATATGCTTGAAGAATTTAAAGTAATCATAAAGATGTTCACTGGACTACAGATAAGAGTGGGAGAACTCCATGAGAACTTTAACAAAGAACTGGAAAATAAAAACCAGAGTTGAAGAATACAACTGAAATGAAAACTACATTAGAGGGAATCAAAAGTAGATTAACGATGCAGAAGAATAATCTGGAAGATGGGGTAATGGAAAGCAGCCAAACTGAACAGCAAAGATAAAGATTTATTTTTTTTTCTTAAGTAAAATCTATGCCCAGCGTGAGGCTTGAACTCACAACTCTTTGATCGAGTCGCATGTTCTACCTACTGAACTAGTCAGCTGTCCCCCTCCTGCCACCCGCCCCAAATAAAGAATTTTTAAAAATGAGGCTAGGTTGGGGCGCCTGGGTGGCGCAGTTGGTTAAGCGTCCGACTTCAGCCAGGTCACGATCTCGCGGTCCGTGAGTTCGAGCCCCGCGTCGGGCTCTGGGCTGATGGCTCAGAGCCTGGAGCCTGTTTCCGATTCTGTGTCTCCCTCTCTCTCTGCCCCTCGCCCGTTCATGCTCTCTCTCTGTCCCAAAAATAAATAAACGAAAAAAAAAAAAATGAGGATAGGTTAAGGGATCTGTTGACAACATCTAGTGAACAAACATTCATATTATAAGGACTCCAGAAGGAGAGAAAGGGGCAGAAATTTATTTGAAGAAATAATAGCTGGAAACTTCCCAACCTAGGGAAAGAACTAGACATCCAGATTCAGGAAGCATTTTAGAGCCCCCCCCCCCCCCCCCCCAAGATGAACTCAAGGTCCACACCACAACACATAATTAAAATGTCAAAGGCTAAAGAGAGAATTGTAATAGTAAGAAAGAAGGAAACCCCTTAAAAGCTCTCAGCTGATTTTTCAGCAGAAACTTTGCAGGCCAGAAGAGTGGCATTATACAAAGTGCTGAACAGAAAAAAACAAAAATAAAAAACCCTACAATCAAGAATACCTGACAAGATTATCATTCGGAATTCAAGGAGAGAGAGTTCCCATACAAAAGGTAAAGGAATTCATCACCACTAAACTGGCCTTCCAAGAATGAGAAAGGGACTTCTTTAAATGGAAAAGGAAAAAACATATTAGACATAAGGAAACTATATATAAAAAGATGTAAAACTGGCAATATAAACATAAACCATGGAGAGGGGAGTGAAAAGGAAGTTCTTTTCGAATGTGTTATAAATGCCCATGAATTCAGTATAGACTGCTTTATATTTAGGATGCTCTTTATGAACCTCATGCTAACCACAAACCCAAAACCAAATTAGGTTAAAAGAAAAAAAGAAAAAAAAAAGGAAAAAGTACAGTATATGGGATATAGTCAGTGGTATTTTAACAGTGTTGCATGGGG